GGCATGGGAGAATGGGAGGGCAAGGGAATTGGGGAAATTGCTATATAAAATAAGATTATTTCTAAAATAAAATTTACAAAAAATTAATGAAAATTAAAAAAGAAACTGCCAAACCCAATAATAGTGCCATAAACACAAAATGTATATATATAAATATATATATATATCATATTTCATATGAATATAATCAAAAGGAAAGAAGTTTAGCCAAACTAGCAATCAAATGCAAACTACAAAAAAAACTATTAGTTAAGAAATGATGAAACAAAACATAGATAAGGTGTGGGAGACAAACATTATCCAACAGGGCCCATTGAAATGAACTTGGCCAGCTTGTATGGCAGCAGTTTGATTTCTATTATCAAATGAGTACCAATTATTTATTTGTGAAAACAAATATTTGATTCTAAGACATGAATCTAAAGGAAGTAATCTTAAGTGCTTCATAAGGTTGTACTAACAAGAACATGGAAGTAATCTAAATATCCAAAAAGGGATTATATAAATGAAACGGCAACCTCTACCATTGTTAACTATTTCTAGATCATATGGAGGCTTTTTTACTTTTCTGTCACCAACAAAGTTTATATAAATAAACTCCTATACCTGTAAGATCAGACAAACCCCTTGAGCACAGCTGGCTCTCCACATGTACTGAAGTACAAACACATCACCTGGACCTCCACAGTTCTCTACGCTGTACTTCTATTGTTTTCATCCATGTGCACATGTCTCTTTCAGGCTTATAACAGCAAGGTTTTTATGCTTCCTGAACATGCTGCATAGCTTTTCACCTCAGTGCCTTTGCTCACACTGTCTGACCCACCTAGGTCACCTTCTCTGTCTGGCCAAGTTCCACCTAAGTTCATAAGAAATACCACCTGGGTTAGTCAGCTTTCTGTCACCACAACAAATATCAGAGATCAAGAGAGTAAAGGTTTATTTTGGCTCAGAGTGTTAGAGGTTCAGTCTGTGGTAAGTTGGCCCAGTTGTTGAAGCTGTGGTGAGGAGGGACATCAGGCAGGTGGCATGTAGCAGGCCCAAACTGCTAACAGCATGGTTAGGGAACAACAGGAAGAGGAAGGAACCAGGGTTCCATGATCATCTTTAAAGGCACCATTCCCCAAAAACTCTTACTAGATGATCAGCCCCTTTGTTTGGTTTTGGTTTTGGGTTTTCAAGACAGGCTTCTCTGTGTAACAGCCCTGGCTGCCCTGGAACTCACTCTGTAACCAGGCTGGCCTTGAACTCACAGAGACCTGCCCGCCTCTGCCTCCTGAGTGCTGGGATTAAGGGTGTGCACCACCACCACTGCCTGGGGCAAACAGCTCTTAAAGATTCTGTTATTTCCCAATGGCAGCATGTTTTAGAGCAAGATTTTCTAAGGGTTGGGGGCTGCTGAGCTTTTCCATGACATTGCTTTTAACCCAGTACTAACCCCATCACCAAGCAGTAGGTATCTTTCTTTGTTTGAACACTCAAAAGTCTTTGAGAAAGGGTCTCATGTATCTTAGGCTGGATTGCAAATCACTAGGTAGTCAAGGCTAAACTTTTTGAACTCAAAATCCTCCTGCTTTCACTTCCCACTTTCTGGAATTACAGATGTATGCCACCATGCCAAGGGATTCCTTTGGTTCTTATTACTTGTGATCCAGTTCACCTTGTTCTAATGCTGTCACTAGATTGTACAAGTTAGGAAAATGGCTCTATCATTCACCTTTCTCTAATACTGACAATATGATTTAGAGAATTAAGCACATAATGAGCACTTTCAGAGCTGAATAAATTATTGTCACAAAGAAAAAGAAGAAAAGAACAGGAAATGTTTCTCATTTGAGACTCAGAGTGGAACTTTTCACAGTAACAATGACACAGAAAAGCACCATAATTACGGACCTGTACTTTCTTCTTTTTTCTGCTAAAAAATCTACCCATATTTGGTAATATTTTCTACAGGAATGAAAAATGAGCTTGGAATTCACAAGAATCTGTTTTCAAATGAATGTCTGAAGAGAGATACTTGTGGATAATAAATATTTTCCTTAGGTAAAACATCATTATAGTTTGTATGCCTTAAATCTTTTATGAAAAAATAGTTAATTACAACAGAAACTGTAAAAGCCAAAGCAGATGTTGCAAACACAGTTAATTTTTCTTCTGTTTTATCTCTCTATATATACATATGAGATATATATTTGCTATTTCAAGATAGGGTTTCTCTGTGTAGCCCTGGCTGTCCTAGAACTCACTCCATAGACTAGGATGTCCTTGAACTCACAGAGATCCACCTTCCTCTGTCTCCGGAGTGCTGGGATAAATGCCTGCACCACCATCGCCCAGCTACTATTTTAGTTCATGCTTACCTGGAACTCCCTATAACAAATCATGCCACCTTGGAATTCAAATGCCTTCCTGCCTCAACTTCCTAAATTCTAGGATTACATGCACTAAGAATCACATTGGCTTTGCCAAGGTAAATTTCTAAAAACAAACAAAAAACAAAAAAAAAACCCAGCCTTATAGGGGAGAATACATATAAACTAAAAAGCCTTACCATACTTCAGGGTACATCTGCAACTTTCGGGTGAGAAAGTCTTTTGTGGTTTCTACTTTCCTTGCCCATAGAGACTTTTTACAACTCTCCTGTAGACAACTCACATACCAGTCCACCTATACCTAAGGGTATATATTTAAGGGTAAAACCACCCCATGATAAACACAGTGCCTTTCTCTGAAAAGAAAATGTCTTTATGAAGACTGTTCTCTGCCAGGTTTTTGGTAGGAAAGGGGAGCTGGTTAGGTCAGTTCTTAATTTGGAATGTCAATTCTCCCAACCATCTTCTAATACATATCTTCAAGTAGTGCTATAATAATTCAATGGTTATGTACTGAACTCTGTGAAAGGTATTGAGGAGTGAGAAAAATACATAAATATTCTGTCTTCACCTTCTACAGGCTGATACTACTAACTAAACCCATCTATCATCTACTGGAGGAAATGAACAATAAACAAACAGGACAATTACAGGGTAGGAAGTAAAGTATGCTGGGCAGGAAGCTACTTAATAACTGGCGAAGGCCTCTCAGATACATTTAAATCCTGAAAAGACAAAAACAAAACAAAACAAAATAGGCCAAACCATACACACTAACTGGCGAAAAGCATCCCTGGCTGAGAGAAATGGAAATGTCCCAAGACGCAAACAGATGCATTCTGTTTGAAGAACACAAATGAAGCAGTGTAGCTGTATTTTTCAAACTGTGGGTCATGTTTCAGAGTGTGATGTCAATTTTGTGGGTCACTGAATTTTTAAAAAGGAAGTCCAATAGAAAATATATCAGCCACATATTTTTAGATTAAATATTCTTTAATGAACCTTTGTGTGTGTGTGTGTACTGGGTTGCTATCTCTACGTTTCTTAATGCAGGGAGTGGTCAAATTTTCACTAAACAAGAAGAGTAATAACAAGTGAGGATGGACAGGTAGCCAAGGACTAGGCAATATATGGCCTTGCATTTGTAGGCCATCAAGAAGAACTGGAACTTTATTCTAAATACATGTAGTGGGAAGACACTGAAGGTTTTCAAGCTAGGGAGTGACATGATCTAATCTGACACTGTGATGTTGCTGAAAGATTACTATAGTGAAATCCAAAGGGCCTGAGAGTAGACCAGGCCAAAACTCTAACACCAGGGATTCCGAGCAAATTGCTTAATCTTACTACACTTCACTTCCCTCATTTTAAAAATGAGAAGACTGAATCAAGATGACCTTTAAGACCTTGGAGATTGCATAAGTTATCCATCTTCTGGTTGATCCCTTGAGCATAAGTAAATGACTATTATAGAATCATCAATCCATTAGTTATGAGTTATGTCTTAATATACTATAAATGATTATATTTATACAGAAAGCTATTTTAGAATTATTTCCTTACTATAACCAGATATGATAATAGAGACGAGTGAGATCTCTGTGTTAAAAGTGAATGGAGTGTTTTTGCAACTCTCTGGTATAAAGTTTGGTGCATGAAGAAAATTGGCAAGGAGGTATGAAAAGATTTACTGACCAGGCTATCTGGAACATATTTCCTTATTTGTTTATCAACTGATGTACAATACAGAACAGTATAAGTGGATAGGAATCTTCTAGTAAGCACTAAAATCAAAATACAAAAGTTTACTTCTTTCTACAGTAACCAAATGACAGAGGCAAAATCTGTATCAACAATCTAGTAGTTTTTACTTCCACGCCTGACAATCTGATATGTTTCTTCACTTAATCCCTTAACCTTATTTACATTTCACAGATATGGAAATAGGAACTTAGAACATGTATGCAAACTTTTTAGTGGAAGGGCCTAGATTAGCATCAATCAAGGCAGACGGCAACTTGAGCATTTAAATTCTGTATAACTTATTCTAAATGTTTAAAAATACTGATCAGAAAAGTACTTGACAACTCAAATATCTATGGTATTGAGACATTGAATGTTCAACCAATAAATCAATTCTGTACTTACAGAAACTTTCAAGTACAGAGTGTGTTAAGAACTTGTGAGTGGAACTTTTGGTTTTAAGAAGCTGGAATTCAGCAAAATAAAAGGAACTGGATTGCCAAATTACTTACAAAGTGTATAGCAAAAGTACAATGACAGCTTTCAGGTTCATTCTCTGGTGAAAGCTCCACACAGGAACCACGAACTGCACAGTGTCACTTATGTCATTGACCAAGTAGCCCGCCAGGCCCATGAACACGAGATGCTAGACATTCTGATTTCTAACTTACATTAACCTTTTAAAGGAAGAAGTGAGCACACCATCTGCCCAACTGAAGCAGTGCACACAGCGTGGCAAAACCCTTGAAACACGTACAGCATTTTTCCAGTGAGGGTTGGAAAGTTCTTAACATCTGCCAGCAAAAACATCCACAAACACCCCAGCAAAAGTTGGATATTCTCACTGCACACCCCACTTCAACCCCTAGAATACATGCTCACCTGTCACATACTCAGCTTCGAATCTCCGCCGGGTCTCAGAGATTAGCTTGGCTTTATTCTGAGCGTTATTCTGGATGGGAGACACAACAGAACCTTAGATGCTTAAGATCTTTACTCAGATCACTCTCTGCACAGCGCACCTGCACCGGAGCGCACCGGCCCTGGGCCTGGAAGACACCTTCCCGGTCCGGGGACCCAGAAGTGGTACTGTGCTGCTCACCTCGGCCATGGTAACAGTGGTGGACTTGATTGTAGTTGTAGCCGTCTTCCCTTCCACAGCCGGCAGCCAAGTATCTCATCACCAGCCAGCCCAGCCCAAAGGTAGACCAAGAAGGGAGGGAGGAGGAGGAGGCGGTCGCGTGACACCGGAAGGTAGAAGGAAGTGCCTCCACACTGTCCAATCCTACACTGTCCTCTGTGGATAAAGGCGGGAATAAGTGCTCTGCTGGGCTCCCACTTGCTTCTCTAAGGAGAAACCCCGCCTTCCGACGTCCTCCTGGCACTGCTGCCCCGCCCCCAGCCATCTGGAGCACTCCCCTGAAGCACAGCTCCTGACAGCTCCGCAAGTCATTCTCTTCCAGCACTCGGAGGCTCCGCCCTCTCAGGTCTCCCCTGGCAACTGCCTGGATCAGGCTTCGCCCCCTTTTCACTCTGCTATTGGACCGGGTGTCCCAGCGTGCAATGCGCGGGCGGGAGGTTTGGAGTCATTTGGTGCTTCTAGGACATGGCGATTTGGCTGCCTTGGAGAACTGGTTTTTTCTCCTGACCCGTCGCGGATAATTTGGATTGTGAGTGTTCTATATATCCGGTGATTATTTCTGTTAAGACTTTCTGTTGTAGTGTCTAGCATTATAGTGCTGATAGGCCTGAAACTTGGTCTGTAGCCTAGGTTGGCCTCAATTTCTCAGACATGCTGTCTCTCTGATGGAGATTACAATTGTAACCACCACTCTTGGTTGTGGAGTTTGAGATACAAGGCAAATGTCTTTGAACTCTGAGTTCAAGTGGGTATAGTAAGTTAAAAGGAGGCTGGGCGGTGGTGGAGCACACCTTTAATCCCAGCACTCAGGAGGCAGAGACAGGCGGATCTCTGTGAGTTCAAGGCCAGCCTGGTCTACAGAGTGAGTGCCAGGATAGCCAGAGATACACACAGAGAAACCCTGTATCCAAAAACAACAACAACAACAACAACAACAACAAAATTAAAAGGAAAGGCGTTATATTGAGGTGTTTGTTCTTATGCGGTAGAGGAAGGGCTCTTATTTCTGCCATGTAAGTGACATTTATAGTTGTCAAAGCTTGGGAATGGGAGTGCATCTGATTTCTAATGGATAAAAGCCAGGGATGCTGCCAAACTTGCAGGACAACTCACAATGCTTATTCAGGGCAAAATGCAAATATTGCCAAGGCTGGTAAAAGCTTAGATTTATGAAGCACTGGCACCAACTTTAGCTTTGATGGTTTAGTTGAATATAACAATGTTGCCTTTCTTAAAAATAACAGATACTGTAGAGTACTTGTAAAAGATGTTTTAAAAAAATGTTACCCTAGGTGCTGGGTCTATGGTTCAGTGGCATGGTGCATGTTGGAGGTCTGATGTTCAATCCCCAGCAGCCCTTCCCCTCCACTAAAAAAGAAAACCCAACTCTTCCCTCACAAATCCCTCATCTGTAGCTGATTCACCATAATAAGGCACTTAGCATCTTTCTCCATGGTGTGTCCTATATTTACATTTTTATGGGAAAATGAATACATTGTTAAAAACTTGCTTGAAAACATTCATAAAATATTTGAATAGATAAAAGCTCCCCTAGACTCCACTCCCCTACTTTGGTACCCATATTCAGTATTAAAATTTAGCCATCATGCCGTGCAATGCATTCCTTTTAACTGTAGTGTGATGTTCCATCTGTTTATTTTCCTACCGCTAGTCATCCAAATCTATACTTTTTATATTGCAAATAGTAGTGTAGTATATATTTTAGAGTAGTAGTATCTTTCCATATGTGGCTCTATTTCTCTGGGGTCAGGTCAGAAATGCAATTGCCAAAGATACACATTTCAATTTATTGCCAGATTAAATTCTACAGTCACCTCTCTCTTTCATAAATTATTTATTAATTATCCCCTAATCATGAACTTTGTTCCTCATTCACATATTTCAATACTGTCACTCAGATGTAGCAGTACCATTCTTGGATTTCTGTATTTTGAATTCATTCCATGTGTTGTAGTCACTTAAAAGAGTCACTCTGTATGGCTGGCCACTGAAACAAGAGAGAATAACATTTTTATGTCTATTGAATTTAGCAGATATTTCTTTGATGTCATCGAGTTTGCTAATTCTCTCACACTGCCTTCCTATAGGCAGTTTGTTCTTAATAGGGAAATTCATGCCATGGCAATATGATTCACAGGGTTGGCTCAAGAGGCAAAGTGACTTTTGTCTAAATCTGGCAGCATTGATTAAGTATGGATTAATGATGAAACCTTGGGACAGTTTACCTTCATTAAAGAAGAGGTCTGGCTTTACAGAAAGGAAGGGTAAGGATATTTATTTTGAGAGAATAGTTGTAAACCTGAAATGATATAGTGCATGGATTGTAATGGACAGAGATAATAAGCACAAGTGTTTGATCACAGTTACTTAATTCTTCTGTACATTATTGTTAGTTGTATTCACCCTCAATTCCCCCCTATTTTGAATAGTAATAGTTTTCCTCGAATCACAAAAATGTATTGTGAAGTAAAAAGTATTTCTGGCTTTTTCTATAGAAATTTGTAAGATTTATTTTAAGAGTTTTCTTTCATCATGCAGCATGTACAAACTTTGTCTTTAGGAAGCAGGGGCCCAAGTGCCTTGACTGTGGGGAGCAACCTAATTCAGCAATCAACATATTTAGGGAATTCTGAGTTTCAAGACAAGTAAACCATTGATTAACTGAATCTCATTCTAAAGATGCTAATATAAACCCAGATGAAATTAGTAGATGGTCAGAAAATGATGGATATAAAACTCATAAAAAATTCCCTGAGCCAGAAAAATATTGGAAGTCATTTTTTAGTGCTCTCACGGTCTCTCCAGCCCAGGCTGGCCTGGAGCTCACCATCTTCCTGATCTCCAGAGTGCTGGGATAATAGGTATAGTCTAGTACATCTAGCCTTCAGGTACTTTTAAATTAAATTTGGGGTGTGGTTGTGTGTGTGTGTGTGTGTGTGTGTGTGTGTGTGTGTGTGTGTGTGTGAGTGTGTGTGTGTGACTATGGTACACAAATGAATGTCAGAGGACAGTTTTTTTGAGTTGCTTCTTACTGCTTTGAACATTCCAGGCTTAGATGCCTTGTGGGCTTTCAGGAGCTTCTCCTATCTCTGCTTCCCATCTCACCAAAGAAAAGCTGGGATTGCCAGGCACACTACTGTATCAGGCTGCTTTTTACTTCCTGAAGTCTGGTCCTCCAGGTTGTGCAGCTTTGTGCAGCTAGCACCTTTATTTACTTTCCTGACGGGGAAGGTACTGTTACTAGAACATCTAAATAAAGCTTGCCATGCTGATAGCACATGCAGGCATCTTTTCTGACTTAGTTATTCACAGTCTTAGAATTGTCTAAGCAACTAAGCATTGTCACCAGGTGTATGACATATACCTATAATCCCAGCACTCCAGAGACAGAGACAGAGGAATTATTAGTACAGCAAAGGTCTATTATATAGCAAGGCCTTCTCCATAAAATGTTGTAACAATTGTATAAAAAGTTTTAATATGTTTACTTAAAATGAAATGTGTGTGATAATTTCTAACAAAATATGTTTTCTGCTCTGCCTGTTCCATTTAGTCTTTCTTCTTTCCCCCCTTAGGTTTAAAGGCCTCAACTGTAATCCATTTGCATTTGGAATTGGATCAACACAGAGCCTTTATGTATTAGAATGGATGGCAACCAAGCAACTCCATTTAATGAGCAAGCAAAATGCTTGTGTTATAATGGAGAAATCCTTGTTTTTTATTTGTCCAAAGGAGATTTTGAAATGCCTACAGATACCTCTGTATTATATGTCAAAAGGATGGCATATGACAGAGAAACAGGAACATTTGTTTTGATATCCAAGGGTTTTTTAATCATTAAGGAGAAAGCTTCTGATTTAAAAATTCTGTGTTGTAAATGTGTGTCAGATTTCAGAACTAGAATTAACCTCCCTTGCATTTTGATACAATATAAAAAATATAATAGTGGAGCTTTCAAGTATTATATACTCTTTCTTCACAATTCGAACAAATTTGAAAAGTATTTGAGTTTTAAACTCAACCATGCATTGGATGAGAGCTTAAAGATCTTTGATGGCCCTATAGTTCTTTGGCAATATCTCAACAAATTCTTCTATATCTCTTCCCAAATTGGGAAAGTTACTAATATATCAGTTAATCTTTCCTCTATTGAGTGGGTAGGTGAGGTAGAAAATTTTGGTTTAATATTTTTGGGGCTACCAGAACCCCCTGAGGCTAAATGTACCCACAAGCTTTCAGAATCAGATTATGAATTTTCCAATTCCACCCTTTGTGCATATGCTCTTACAACTCAAGAAATATTAAGCAATAGTTATCTTATTCCTCTTGCTTACAGTAACGTAATAACGCATGTGCATGTTTGTGCAGCTGAGATGGTCGACGACAAGTTAAGAATGTCTCTGATTGCCCTTACACGAAAGAATCAGCTCGTTTTGTTCCAAGATGGCATTCCTGTAAGAGTATGCCAGCTTCCATTTCTAGATCCTTGCTCAGTTCAAATTCTAGATTCAGGTAAAGAAAACCGATATTTCATCGTGTCTTTCAACTCCAAGGCTTGTGCTGTTTCGGAGAAGAAATTTAAGGTACAATGCTTCATCTCAGTCTCACAGTAATTCAGTAGGTAGTCTTGGGCTTTTCTTTTCCTGTGTTTTGCTTTGTTTTGGTTTTTGAAACAAGGCTGGGTCTTTATATGTAGTTCAGGTGGCTTTAAATTTTCCAACCTGCTGTCCTGAGTCCTAGGATTACAGTCTTGTGCTAGCATCATGTCCAGCTATTTTCAGACTTTCTAAGCATTCCTATTTTATAAGTCAGTTTTTAGCATTAGTCTTTGTAGATGTTTCATTGTTTTTTTAATTTAGTCTTTCTTTCTTGAAGTTGTCTGAGTTCTACCCAATAATGGTTTGGGACCTTGGTGTTTGAAGTCATAAAGCTTTTGAGTTTGGAAACATAAATATATAACTATAATTATATTTGTTTGTCTTTTATTATAATTATTTGTTAATTTTTATTAATGCAATCATATTGGAGTACCTAACTTAGAAGAAGTACAGTGATTATACTTGAACAAGTATACTTAGCAGTTAAGACAAACCAGTAAATA